AGCAATGTTCAACAAAATGTTACAAAACCACAGTAAAAGATATTAAGAGTAGGGACAAGACCCCGTTTTCAATTCAACTGCGCAGATTTGCTTGTTCCTATGTATATCCTTAACTGTGATAAAACGTGCACTGAACTGGCACCGTCAAAATATCTCGTGCCACTTATAGCGTTTTCGATTAACCGACTCGACCCGACTCCGGGTCAGGTTGACTTCGATCACAAGTTCGATTTGAGACTCAATACTTGCATTGACCTGCGCAGTGTCATGGCGGAAGAGTTATCTTCTATAACCTCAATGATACCTCAGAAATAATCAGAGATTGTTTATTATGAAAATTGTGCGAGTCAACAAACGATATATATATCTCTATAATGAATAGATTAGGTAAGAAATTCATATTATGTTAATAATATAATTATTGTTAATTATGAAAAAACGAGCGATATATAAATGTTAGTATACCATTGAATGATATATAAATTTTTGATCGTAACAAATATTGTAAATAATAATTTTTACAGAAAATAACAGCGTAAACATGAAAATTGTTCGAGATGAATCCGGAAAAATGATTCAAACTGCCGAAGGGATTCTGTGCGAATATGTGGATAGCGATGGTAAGTCTTTAGTTAAAAATATTGTAACATTAATAATATCCTTTGTCGTTAATGAATCTACATTGTCATAGTATTAAGACTATAAAATCATTTTTCTTTTCAGGAAATACCACATTAAAATTTGCACAGATAGATTCATGCTGTAGCCAATTATTGTCTGAAACTGAAAGTGGTAAGTGATTTGTGTATACATTGCTAGGGGTGAAAAGCTTCACTTTATAGAAATATTAAAATTAATGATAAATTTCATTTCAGAAAATATAATGCCATGCAGTACAATAGTAAATACTACGCAAGAAAATTTCAAAAATGTACAAAAATTTGTCATAGCACATGAGTTCTTATTTTCTTCATCAGTTCTGATGAAGAATTACAATATCTGTTAGTGCAAAAGAGGAAAATACCGCGAATAAAACATTTTATTAGAGATGTCATTGATCAATATACTGCAGAAGAGGTAAATATAGATATATATTTATTAATTCTGTAACTATTAAATTGATAGGTTATTTTGTGTTATTTTTATGCTGTTTCAGTTTCAAGCACATTTAGACTTTCAAGAAGAATATGTAAGAAAATCATTAATTTATTCAAACAGAGCAAATATTGTCCTAACGGTCTTCGTGGAAGAAATAATAAAACACCTAAAGAACATATTTTAGTTTTTGTATGGTACATAATTTTTTTATTTACTTATTTTTAAATATGTAACAGTTTTATAAAATAATACTGCTCGAGTAATATTTTTAAAAAATATATATAGGTTTGCTGCAAATATATATATATAAAACAGTATTAAGGAGTGTAGCAGATTGTTTTGACATGCAAATTGCCACAGTGCATCATATTATCAAAAGAGTTACAAATTTTTTAGTAGATTTGGCTCCATCAATAATCCGATTTCCTGCAACAGAACAAGAACATCAAGAAAAGGCTCAAGAATTTCGAAATATATGTGAAATTGATGGAATTGTAGGATGCATAGATGGCACGTATATTTCTATTAGAACACCTGTCAAAAAAATTCGTCATACTTATGTAAATAGACACGATGAAACTGCACTTACAAGGCATATGCGACACAAAAAAAAGATTTATAGACTGCTTTACTGGAGTGTCTAGCAAATGTCATGATGCTCGTGTTTATGATATGTCTTTTATTAAAGAAAAAGTATCTGAAATGGGAGATTATTACCACATTATTGGTGACGCAGCTTATCCAATATCTACAAATCTTTTGACACCATATAGTGGGAAATTGACACCAGTACAAGCCAACTTTAATTATCATTTTTGTAAAGCGCGAGTTAAAATTGAAAACACGTTTGGATTATTAAAATGCAGATTCCGACAATTGACAAGACTTGATATGTGGTCTGTAAAATTAATGTCCAAATTTATTATATCTTGCTGCGTGTTGCATAATTTATGTATAGAGGAAAATGATATATTCGACTATTATGAATATGAAGAACTTCAATTTCCAATCCATCAATGTACTTATAGTAATAACAGAATAAGAATATTAGGACAGATGAAACGTGATCGCATAGCGTTTGATTTGATATAAATGAATTTAAACGTAAAAGTCTTTCATTAAACAGTTTATTATTAAATGTAACAGTCTTTCATTAAACAGTTTGTTAACAAACAGTATCTTCAGTATGATTTATTATTTAAAAAAAAACTCACTCTTATGAAATCATTAAAATTAATATCACACTTATATGGCAAATCTTACATTTAAATTTTTATAATGTAATATCACAACGATATATAAAATATTATTAATAGGATTACAAAGGGACTTAACATTGTAAATAAAATATTAAATCTAGAGCATACAGCCACAAACGCAAGATGTTAGTTACTAGAGTATTTTAACTTAATAATTTATAATAAAAGACTGTAACAACTAACATCTTGCATTTGTAGTTGTATGTTCTTGATTTAATTTTTTATTTAAAATATATGAAAATTAAAAAATGATAATAGAACTTATTGCATATGCTAAGCATTATACAACTCTTTCTGCTGTTCATATCATTTAACATGTTCTTTAGTGTTAAGTCTTTTCTATTCTTAACTGCTTATGAAATAACAATCATTATTGCTCTCTTCCTATCGTACATTTAAATTTTTACAATGCCATTAAATGACAAGAACAATAGAAAGAGTTGTATGTATTTACTCACGGAAAATCATATTATTCCAATAAATTGTGATTATTGCACATGCAAAAATATTTAAAATATGTTTTAACTAAACAAAAGTAAATAGTATGTTCGTAAAAATATGTTTTACTTATTATTTGCGGAAAATAATTCTCGAAGAACTTCTATCTTTTCTTTGTGTCGACGCTCTTTCTGTTTTTCTTTCTCGTTATTAATATCTCGTAATACTGCAACAACATTTGAAGATTTCGGAACTTTTTACTCGATTTCTTCGTCACTGTTCAAAGTATCTATTTTCCTCTTTTTAACAGTATACTGGCCTATACCAAAGCGAACATCAGGTTCAATGCTATCATCGATACTATTAATTAATTCTTCATCAGAACTGTCTGATGAAGAAAATAAGAACTCATGTGCTATGACAAATTTTTGTACATTTTTGAAATTTTCTTGCGTAGTATTTACTATTGTACTGCATGGCATTATATTTTCTGAAATGAAATTTATCATTAATTTTAATATTTCTATAAAGTGAAGCTTTTCACCCCTAGCAATGTATACACAAATCACTTACCACTTTCAGTTTCAGACAATAATTGGCTACAGCATGAATCTATCTGTGCAAATTTTAATGTGGTATTTCCTGAAAAGAAAAATGATTTTATAGTCTTAATACTATGACAATGTAGATTCATTAACGACAAAGGATATTATTAATGTTACAATATTTTTAACTAAAGACTTACCATCGCTATCCACATATTCGCACAGAATCCCTTCGGCAGTTTGAATCATTTTTCCGGATTCATCTCGAACAATTTTCATGTTTACGCTGTTATTTTCTGTAAAAATTATTATTTACAATATTTGTTACGATCAAAAATTTATATATCATTCAATGGTATACTAACATTTATATATCGCTCGTTTTTTCATAATTAACAATTTGTCGTGCGATCAAATGAACACGTGACACTAGCCAAGTGCGCATTGGCACTGCCAATCGAACACGCTCTTGACACTGAGTGCAGCCAGTGCACCCCAATCGAAAACGCTAATATTTTGACGGTGCCAGTTCAGTGCACGTTTTATCACAGTTAAGGATATGCATAGAGACAAGCAAATCTGCGCAATTGAATTGAAAACGGGGTTTTATCCCTACTCTTAGGTCCGTTTCCACCAACGCAGATCATTTTTAATCTCGGTTCAACTTACTCTTTGTCTTTTTTTAGTTCTAAAGATTAGAAAAAGACGAAGAGTAAGTTGAACCGAGATTAAAGTTAATCTATATTGGTGGAAATGGGCATTAATATCTTTTACTGTGGTTTTATAACATTTTGTTGAACATTGCTTCAAAGTGAACAAAAATGAGTTTCAGCTTTAGCACTGAAAATCTTGGCGTATTCTTTTGAACTTGCACTATTCAGTGCAACCCATGGAGCTCGTCCAGTGTTGGTGTGAACTGAGTGCGCACTGGTGCGCACTAAATTTTGCCCAATCGAAAACGCTATTAGTTACTGTACTGGTACGTTCTTTTATATCGTGCACTAGTACAATTTTCTATCAGTGCAGTCCGATTTAGTGCTAGTTCAGTGCACACTAGTGCAGAGAAAAAAAAACGAACATAGTGCGTACGATCAATCGCGGTGCAAAGCGGGGTCTACAATAGAAGTCGTAGCAGTCGTAAAGTCTTAAGTCGTTGAAAATTGATCAATCACAGTAGAATATGAGAAGAATAATCAACTATGATTGGTCAATTTTCTACGACTTAAGACCCTACGACTGCTGTGACTTCTATTGTAGATCCCGCACAACCGGGGCTCTATCCTTGAAAAGAAACGTATACGAAAGTCTAGAAAAATACTATAGTATACGTAACGTATACTGTAGCATTTCCCTAGACTTTCGTATACGTTTCTTTTCAAGAATAGAGTCCCTGATCTCTTCCGATTCCGCGCAATCACACAGGGCCATATTCTCAAAAAGTATCACATACGAAAAACTAGGGAAATGCTATAGTATATGTTACACATACTATAGTATTTCTCTAGTTTTTCATATGCGATACTTTTCAAGAGTAGGGCCCCAGATTGGTTACATTCAGCAGACTCAAATGTTGCGAAACGGAGCGCTCGCTGCTACTGGTTGATCTAAAAGCATACACCAATAGCAGCGAGCGCTCACAGATTCTTCCACACAGTTGTATCTGCTGAACGCGACCATTGGCTTACGTTATTCCGTATCCAGCGAATAAAAAATTGGACCATCTATGCTATACGCGTGGTGCGCCAAGTGAGTTTACATTTCGTTACCATGGCAATCGAACTGTCAAACTTATGAAAACCAGTTATTAACAATTATCAAACGAATGGGCACGAGAGAGAGAGAGAGACAGATTGTCAAGATTAGAGATTCGTAAAAATGGCAAATGATATTCTCAGCAATGGCCGTTTACGAGAAAACACTGTTGTACAACGAACAAGAAACGATCGAGGCAATCGAGGTATCATTCAATTCAATCAAAACTTTAAGTATAAATGAACGTATATATGACTCACTATCGATTGAATTTTGATAACAAGATAATACGGAGTTTATCGCCAGATACGCAGTGAACGCCAAGGTCACGTTATCTTCTTAATAATTAAGAAAATCTTAACAATTAAGAAAAGGATAACTTTAGCGTTTACCACCATCTGGATTCACGTTGCAAAAACTCTATTAATCTTGTGATGCTCGTCACGTCGGAATTGTTCTTTGTCAGATGCAATTTTTCCATCACGTTTCTTATTGTTGGTTTTGTTGGACGCAGCACCAGACATAGCAGCAATAGAGAGTCGCAATTGGTTGCTACATCGACATTACACGAGACACGAATACAGCGCTTGCAAGCTACTCATCGAGCAGGAATTAATGAAATCTAATGGTCACGAATACGCCAATTATTTAAAGGTGCGATCGAGACTATTCTCCCAAATAATGTCACATATGAAAATACCATAGTATACGTTTTACGTATATAAATATTAAATACATACCTATACATTTTCCTAGTACTCTTTTATGTGCAATATTTTTCGAGAATAATCGAAAGTCCTCTTGATCGATATATTAGGTGTTGAACTTAATTCCTGCCGCTCGCTTAATTTAAAATAATGTTCCACACCTTTAAAAAATCTAAAAAAAAATTTTTGTAATGTAATATGCTAAAAAGTTTGACACACTTTTTAGCATATTACATTAAAAAAAATTTTTTTTAGATTTTTTAAAGGTGTGGAACATTGTTTTAAATTAAGCGAGCGGCAGGAATTAAGTTCAACACCTAATATAACTTGATGCACAAAAATAAAAATTGACACCAAAATTGACAACAATTGTCGATAGTTTGCCATCATCTGCCACTGCCTACAACCTGTGACAAACTATGATGGAAAGTGTGGAAATAATTAAATATTGATTTTGATCTCTCACACTAGATTAGTAATATTAGTACACATATTAAAGATTACTTGATGTAAGATATTTAAATGCAGTAGCAATATAATTAATTTTAACAATTAAATACATATTTTATTAAATAACGTATAAATATTATTAAATTTTTAATTATTTAAAATATTTTTTATATGCTCTTTAACACTACTAATTTCATATTAGCAGTTTTTAGTGTGCACTAATCTAGCAAGTAATTGAATTTGCTAAAAACTATTCGACAAAAAAATAAAGAATAATCTTTATTCCTACAGCCTGTAAATATTAAATAACTATAAACAACTACCAATATTTATCCTTGTTACGCTGTCGTATCGGATAATGCATAATGATCTTATCAATAGGGTTTAATTCTTCGAAAGGAGGGTAGGATTCAAGATTCCTTGGATTGTTTTCAAACCGCGTATAATGTGAATTCGACAAACATCGATAACGTTAAACAGATAGCAAAATCGTTGTAAGTAATTAAAAATTATTCTTAATATAAATTACATAATATATGACGAATATCACGAATTATTAACACGACAATTTTTAGACTGATAATGGGAAGTCACAAACGCGCGATAGATGCATATGCGGAAGCTGAAAAGATATCTGTTCTACCAGATTGGGAAATATATCATGGCCTTGGCAAGTTATTTGTTTTACAATGCGATGTATTATTTTGCACAACACATTAGCTTTATAAACTTGCAGATACACCTATCAGAGAATTCACGCTACTTTATTAACTTTGTGGGAAATGTACTTTTGCTCGATGTTGCACTCATATAAATAAGTATATGTAACCGCGTTTCAAGTATTTGCTTTGAGCATAATTAAAGTTATAAAGTTTAACTGTTAAGTAAAATAACGCTTTCTGCGTCTAACGGAATTATTTTCTTTCTCGTCTTCAGGCGAGGCTTATGTAAAATTGAACCAATTGCAAGAGGGTAAAAAATATTTCAAAAGATCAACGGAATTAACCAAAAGTGAATTGCCCAATATTGATCTTGCTAGACTCTATCTCTTAGACGATATGATTCCAGAAGCTAGAAACGCTTATACCGCAGCTTTAAAGTAAGTTATATGAATCGCTCGAATTAGGAATATTAAATTATTTTCACTTTCATGTATCATTAGTTGCGAACGAATTAAAAATATTACCATGTAATCATTTTTTTTATTACATGTTTTCTTAGCTTGCCGTTTTTCTTCTTAATACCTTTCTTATTTTATTAATCGCTTTCTTGTTTCCTTTCTTTCGATAGCGTTTCTATCATTTTGATACAACTTAAACTTTCGACACTTTCTTTACTCTTAGCGGGAATCCCCAGAGTATAGATGCAGCGACAGAACTGGGTCTCTTATATCTTAAAATCGGAGATACGCAACGAGCATTTCAGCAATTTGGAGCAGCTTTGGCTCATTCGCCTAATTGCGTCAAGGCAATCTTGCCTATGGCTTATGTAATGCAGGTGCATAAATTTATAGAAATTCATATAGTAACATCTCTTTGAGCATTTCTCTTTAATTTACGAAAAAATTTAATCGATTGATATCTTGTACTCCAATTATATGTTCGTTCTGATTATTTTCATCAAATTAATTTTCGATTACTTAAATTGATTGTTTCGTTTGATTTATAAAGTAGGTAAAGCGTTATTCTGCTTTGCTAATATATTATAAATAACTATGAAGGCATATTCTATCAATATTCTATCACAAATGCATATTCGTCAGATTATTAAGATTTACTTATTCTTTGCATTCTTCGTGGAATTTGTTCTTTTGCTTCGCTGGACAGCGTATATATTATATTTTCCAGAGTCATCGAGAGTACGATGTGGCCTTATCGAAATATAAAGTTGCGGCACAGACCATTCCAGAATCTTCGATCCTTTGGAACAACATTGGAATGTGCCTTTACGCGAAACAAAAATATGTTGCGGTGAGTCTACTCCTTTTTTTTCCTTCCGCTTTACCTTCATCTTTACCTTTATCGCTTCTTCTCTGAATATCTCCTATTTGAAGTATGCGATGTCTCAATTTATAGCAATATTCCCCCATAGCAAAAATGTCATAGTTACATCACAACCATTACGGTGATGTACGATTTATCACAAATGTTACAGCAATGTCATGACGATGTGCGAATATCTTTGTAACATGTGTTATTTTGTTATAACAATTTATTTATTCTCGTCTTCAAAATTTTTTTTTGTAATTACAACATCATACTGTCTCTGAGGATGGCTCAAAAATGAGCCGAAACATGTAAACAGATTAATTATTAATAAAAGTAGTTTTGTTAATCGTTTGGTTTGCACAAGAATTACCGTGCTTGACTCTTATTACCCTGT